CACACACCACACACACACACATATATATATATAAATATATATATATATGTATATATATATATATATAGAACAGTGAGATCACGCATAGCATATCTACTGAAAATTTAACTATAAAAAATTATATCATTTATTTAATAGAGGTGACAGATTTGTGTTTGGACATCATTATCTCAGACCTCACGAAACATATCACGAGCCAACACGAAAGTTCTATGTAAACGAAGTTGTCTGCGCTCCATTATACGAAGCTGTACCTTGTGATCTCGTAGCCGAACGATGTTGGGTATTGGATCCTCATACTTTCTGTAAAGGTATGTAAAAATTAACGTTTTATTTGATCCTGTCACTGCAGATATGTAATTACTCCGTCATTTTGTAACAAAAATTCACTTTTTCATATGCTTTTGAATGAAGGGCGCCCTGTCGGCTCTACTCCTGAACATACTTACGTATGCGAATATCGTGTTGATCGCGCAGCACGACTTTTTACAAAGGTGGCTAGAACTAGGCATACAGTATGCACGAAACCTTACGCATTTGAAACCTTTCCACAGCGTATAAAACATTATCGTACCTATTTGGTAAGTGCGATTATAGTTCTATCAAAATTATTTCAATATTAATATAATACATATTATGTTCAGTATGGTAATATTTAATGTTCTCTTCAGCCTCACAGTCTCGATGGAATCAAGATGTTTAAAGACAAGAAAAAGAATAACAATCAGGAAGTGGATGGAAATCAAAAGTTGGAATCTAATGATAATACAAAGACGCATAACAAAGAACACAAATGTAATAAGACTAGGCGAAAGTCGGGCGAGATCTTGACAGTTGCATCGCCTGCGACATCGTACGCTCAAGTAATTATTACGAAGAATTAAAGGATCATTATTTATATACGATTATTTTATTTAACATATTTATTTTGTAATTAATTTGCAGCTAGAGGAACAGAGGAAAAAATTGAATCGCATTCTACTGAATCTATTACAGAGAATGCCAAATAAAAAAGATCCGTTAGATCTGTCATTTCTTTTAGAAAGGAACAGGCGAAACCGGAAAAGGCCGGGCGGACTTAATCCGTGATAGTGGGTAATATCACAACGATAATATCATATTGTGTACATATATACATATATATATATATATAAATATAGTGTAATTTAGAGTCACTGCTAATTTTAATTTTAGTCAGATTAATAGACTAGTTGATTCCAATCGCGTTCTAAACATGATTCTGCTACGTGAATCGGGATAATTGTACATCTATCCTTTCCTCTTCCCTCTCCTCACCCTCTATTAACGTAGAAGGTGCACAAGAAAAGTTTTTCCTCTTCATACAACCCGTCCATTGGTGTAATTTGTATCTATATACATCTATATAGTAGTCCAAATAATATTTAACATAGACAAAATTGTCAAGCGATATTTTTTTACATTTTTTTTTTTAATAGATATCTTATGATAAATGATTAGATCTTAAGGCTCCTGAATAGTCACTACAGTATTATATTGAATCGTGACGTCAGAAATGAGAAATGGCGCGTTAATTTTTATTGCGTATCATTTGTAAATAAAGGCAATTTGAATAAAACAAAATGACAAGATCGCTTTAAAACAATTGTAAAAATGAACCAAAAGCTATTCTTATCCCTCTCCTTCGATAGTTAAAAAATAATCGTAAAAAATGATAAAAGACACATGAAGTACTTTTATATTCAATGCCTATGTGTAGCCATTTTCACTTTTACGCCTCTTATCACTTGCGATTATTTATTGATCAGGAAAAAATAAGGATAGCTTTCATTCATTTTTACAATTATTTTAAAGCGATCTCATCCCATTCCAATTTTATTCAAATTGTCTTTATTTACAATATAGCTGTGGTGACTGGTTCAGGAGCTTTAACGTGTACTTTTCTTATTTAACTTTTAATCATTTAATTGATAAAATATAGATACTGTTGATTTTTATAACAATGTCAAGAGTCATGTTGCAAACAATTAATAAGTACTTTAAACTAAATAGACTATACTCATTTCATTACGATGAATGAAAGAATAATCCAAGTTAAGGGTTGACAGAAGAGACTGGAGATTTTTATCACAAATTAATTTTTCTATTCAAATTACGGCTGAATTGTGAAAATCATGTAATTGAGATATGTATAATCAAGCAAATTGTTATACAGCTTGTTATAGAACGATATTTTGGTAAAAAGACGAAATTAAAATACGTTCTGATATCACTATAATGCAGTTGGGATGCAGATAATCTTATTTATTTTGTTTTAAAAGTTAAATTATAATTCTTTAGTAGCGCAAATATAAAGTACGAGTTTTACATTGCTGAAGACCTGAATTTTGTAATTTAGTTTTTAAAACAAAACATTTTTGCTTCATAAAATGTGGATCAAAAAACAGTTTCACAACTATGAAACAAAATATGTGTGTGATAGAGTACGGATATATCTGTATTTGTACTGTGAATAAGAAGCAAGTAATCAATCATTGGGATTAGCCTCACTTCTATCGACCCTTAAAGTTAAGTGTGATCGATTTTTCCATGAGTTGGTTTACTGTGTTAATATAATTGCAAATTGTGGACTTGTATAGAAAATGTTTTGTACATTTTTTTTTATAGTTGAATACATAGATAAATGTACAAATTATACGTTTCGTAGGGTCAAAAGATTAAACATGTTAGCGTGAGTGGAAAGAATCATATGCGAATGTGAATATAAGTGTGTATATTCACGTAATGCTTTATTGCACAAAAGTAATATTCTATTTTTCATAATCTTTCATATATTATATTTGAATTATGTGTAATATACTTTCTTGACGTTATGATTGAATCTTTACTAATGTATTTAATTTATTAACATATATTGAATAGTCGAACGCGGTCGGATAGGTCGCAGTGATTCCCAAATTGTACATATGTGTACTCAGGACTTCATATTTATTATTGCATTACACAGTATGATAGATACATATGACGATAAATATGTTTGATACATATGAATCTCTTTTCTTTCGTATATTAAACTATTATGCACATTATAGAAACTTTTTGCTTTTATAGAAACTTCTATTATTACGTTTATTGCAACGTAAGACGAAAGTAATATTAAAAGAAATAATATTAATGCATTGTTCTACACAGATTGATCTTTTAAAATTGATCTAGAGTATATTTATTTCGTCAGAATAATTTTTTGCAACATTCGGAGTATCAACAACAAGTATAAACTGAATATTTATTATATTGTGTAATTCAAAAATAAAATAAAAAAAGACTCGAAGCTGGCCTTCTATGTAAGTTAGTGTATCATAGGGATACACGATGTGTGAGCAATTTTTGAAAAAATTTTGAAATAATGCTAATTCAATTCTGCGTTGATTTTATCAAATGAATCGTAAGGATATTGAACAGAATGTCATCACTATGCATTTTCCATGACATACAGTTGCATCATTTTACTCGACTATTTTTACAAGATTCTTATTCGTAAGGAATGTGTAAAATGCAACTTATATTTGTTTTCGATATCATATTGATATCGAAAACGACATTGGTATTAAAAAGATCATTGAGTATCACAATTTATTTTAATATATGTAATATATATTACGACTTTATACAATTTTATTACCATATTACGAATGTATGCTTTGTGAGATATTTTCAGCGATTTGGAATTGTTTTTGCTAACTATATATATTTGTGCATTAAGATATTGTATGTACATATTGTTTGTAAGAGTAATATTCATTTATGTTTATGGACAATTCTGTTTTCAACTATAATGGCATTATAATTAATGGCATTTTCAACTAATAATGACATTAACAACTAGCGGCATTAACAATAGCGGCATGTGTAACAACGATTTTCAATCAGATACCTTTATTGAAATCATGTTATATATATTAAAATACAGTAAATTATGTTATTAAACGTTTCGTATCGTAATATATGAAAAGAAATATTATATTGTTCATAATTATACGAACAAAGGATTTTTCTATTGTGTATAACTTTATTCATTTTTATTATTAGCAAGATTTAACGAGGCCGACAGAAATATAGTGATGTATCGAACAAAAGAATTATAATATTTTTATGTTAAAAATCGGCAAAAAAATTTTTTCGAATCTAAAATAACTTTCGTCTTACGTTTATTAAATCCTTTTATTCGTGAAAAAGCGATTTTTTTATATTTTATATTATAAGCGATTTTATTTCTGCACATCATGATTAACCGTCGTTTGAATTGTCATATATTAATGCAATACATTAGCGACATTTTTCTCAACTCATCATTCGTAACAGTAGTCGTGTAATAACTTGTCTCCTGAGTTTGCTTATACATATAATTAACACTATTATAATACATTTAGATATAATCAAAAGAAATCCCTTGGAAAAAACGTTTGTTGCGACGACAGCTTACAAACATGTAGTGCATGTACAGACTATTGTATTCTGATAAACAAAAAATATACATGAAGTTTCCTTACACAAATCTGTCATACATGTTTTTGCTTATCTCAATCTGTTTCTTTTTAATACCACTCTTGCGAATTTAGTAATTTTAATATAAATTTACACACAAGATATTTGTTATAAGTTTGTTTTTTTTGTTTTTGTTTCTTTTTTTTTTTAGTTTAAGTTGCACATTATCTGTAGATATAAAAATACAGATAAAAAGCCAAAATAAATAGAAGAACCCTTTTATTTTTAATTAATGTTTGTACATTTTTGCGTCAACAATCAAGTTTACAGGTTATGCATTAATTTTATTTTGTCATATAGAAAAGAAACTATGCGTGATTATCGTCATTACACGATGCAGCCCGCAATATCGTGGCTTTTTATTCTTCACTTATGGTAACACAGAGGTACTAGCATATGCTACGTGTAGGTTAAATAGAGCTCCTGATTATTTCTTAAAAAATAGCTCACCCCCCCCCCTTCCCTCTATCTCTCGTCTCTCCTAATATTTCTTAATTGTATATAACTTTGCGTACCGCTACACTTAATCATTACTTAAATTATTTTCGATTTCACACAGAAGTACTTTAGCTCGGAACATCACACACTGTACAATATGTACGGAGAAAAAAACGAGCTAATGAAACAATCATTCTCTGAATATAAAAAAAAGGATTTTTCCTACGAATGAATAGAATTGAATGAAGAGAAGAAAAGGATTATTTTTCTTGTTTGTAAGATCTCTTTCATATACTTGCTCTTCCAAACGACATAATTAATAGATTGCAGACGTTTGATGCAAGTTACACTTGTCATTACACTAAATCGCATAATATATTTGTATTCAGTAATTGTGAATCTGTATGTAAACACGAGCGACTGGTTCGTGATTATACTCTCAAAATCGATGTACAGATATATGTATAAATATATATAGATATATATATATATCATGTATACATATAAAAATATATCATTGATACGGTGCAGCTGAGATAGACATCGTGAGGTGTTCATTCTTTATTTGCTCGAGTGAGGGTGTGATAAAGAAATCAATTGTCCTAGCAGAGGAAGTACGTAGGGTAACAAACGCATTATGAATCAAATATCGAATATAGTAGAAGACAGATAAGTGCAATGTGCACAATTAAATATAACAAAAAACGCCGTTCTCTCTCAATACAATATAGTCAATCAAGAAGTAGACAATCAGCACAATCATATTCATATAGGTGAATAATGATCGTACTAGAGAAAAGTATTTTGTATAAGATACAAATATTTCAAACTTTAATAAACCAAATTAATTATTATAGCAACACCATTCATGTCGTGTTGTACAATGAAAAATCTACATGTATAAAATATGTGTCCAAGAATAATTTATTTGCGCCACAATATTTTTTTTTTTTTTTATACATTTTCGGTGTATAGAAAGATAAGAATAGGGATAAACGATATACAATATATTTTTTCTTGCATAGTTTTTCTCTTTCTAACAGGGCACTGCTAAAAGTTTCACTATCAGCGAATTCACTAGTGCAGATTAAAGCTTGTCGCATGCTAATCTGTCGAAACTGTAAAAACATAAACGATCGATAAAATGACCAATAAATAATACATCAAATAATCTAAACAATTTATGCTTGGGTTTCAGAAATCTTGTTTAGAATTTAATTGCTTATGCATACATTATTATGTCAATTATTACATGTCAAATTGTACATCAATTTGCACACCACAGCTTTTAATGTGCAGATACATTCAAGCGAATTCGCTACATCTATTCAATATATAAATAGATATTTTTCTGCATAATTTCTTTACTTTAGATCTGTACATATTTACACGCGCTTTTGAGATTGCTATCTTTTCTTTTCGGCTTTTAATACTACTTGCGTGGTTTTTTTTTTGTACCCATACGTAGTACTCTTCCTCTTACCTTTTTTTCTTAGTTTTTAAAGATGCGATAAAAAGTTATATTCTTTCTCGCAAATATTACATTATCGTTAATGCACTTACATTATTAGACCTGTGTTTCCGGTAAGAGAATCGCGAAATTTATTAATATCAATTATATTTTAAAACTGATTTTCTCACATGTACTTGTTGCAATGCAGATTACTAATTTATTTTTGTAATGTCCTTACGCACGAGATGAAAAAATCGTGCGAATCATTGTCAAAATTAAAAAAAAAAACGTAATGCTGCCTGTATCCGCTGTTATGTCGATGTCACATTCTATATGTATATCATTGAAATTAAATTCAAACGTTTGTCAAACACATACGTATACGTGATGTATATAACGTGTGTGGTATAAATTCTTTCTTCTACTTATGTGAATGAGAGACTGTTGCATGATGGTTGCTGTCGCAGTACTTAGTACGGACATGCTCGTCCTCGCGCAAAAGTCTGTTATCCCTGTGAGTAACTATATCCTGCGCCCGTATTGGTAGAAGTCGTTGCAACCATTTCGCTTGTAATCTCCTGCGAATGTATGCGTGTGCAAAATTCATATGCAATTATATGAATAAACGATTCTGGCAACATATTGGTTAAATTGAAAATTGAAACTTTCGATTTACAAAAGTAGCGTTCTATTATCTGTACCTTACATTTATTTTCCGTTCTTGTAACATTTACGGTGGTGGATTATTGTTTGCTTACAGCCTGGCTGCTAGCTGCGGTAGTCTGCCCACTCTGTTGTTGTTGACCCCAATACTGGTTGTTGTAATACTGTTGATTCCAGCTATTCCAATTACCATTGCCGTATCCATGTTGATTGTATCCCGTCTGACCGTATGTACCTTGACTATATCCTTTCCAACCCCCCCACTGTTGTTGTCCCCAGCTTGGTTGGTTCCAATTGCCTGTAGCTTGGCTACTTGACCAATTATCCTGTTGACCCCAACTGGACTGTTGCGACCCTTGATAATTCCCACTGAAATATAAGCACATATAACATTATGTTTTTATTACAAATCATTTATTGGATCACTCATTCAGTTACAAAATTTTAGATTTAAAAAAATAAGTTACCTCATAGAGCCCCAACCACCCTGCCTAGGTGCAACAGATCGATTTCTGTCATTTCCTGATCTCCTATCAACTCCAACCATTCTTCTGTCTGATCGTGCCATTGCAGGTCCGCCTCGTCCTCGTAGTCTCCATGGAACAGGAGGTCCGTAACCACCAGTGTGCCTCATGTAACCACCTCTTTGTGGTCTCTCTCCTCTCCAACCTCCCATATTAGAACCACGCCAAGAAGGATTGCGACCTCTATCTTGATCTTATCCATAAGCATACAATATAGTATTATGCAACGTATAACGAATAATGAATAATGAATAATAACAAAATATTCACAATTATTTCTTCGATCTCGAGTGTCTCGGCTGTTTCGAGAATCACGCGTTTCTTTGATATTCTCAGTCTTGTCAAGACGCGGTTGTTTTGTCGGTGGTTGTTGACTGAATCCAGCGTCTTTGCCTTCCTTGTTATATTTCTCAATGAGTTTCTTAGCATCTTCCTTGCCAAGACCGGCCCACTCCACTACATCGAAAAATTCTCCCACCGAAGGTGCAGTGAAATTTGCTATATATACATTCGCGAATTACACATATCATTACTTGAATAATTTATTCTTAATTACAATCATATGTATTACAAGTATAATGACAATGAGTACCTTTCATTTCCGTAAGATTGGACACTAAAGAATTTCCTTCGATTGTATTGTGCATTGACAAACGTTGATTGTACTCTTCATCTGCTGGTATAACAACGATCGCTTTCCGCTGATAACCGCAGAAATTTCGCATTTTACGCCTTTGTACAGAAGAATATATGTTGCTCTTCTGCATATACATTACAAGATTGTTTCAATATTTAGATTTCACAATTTAATTATTTAAATACCTATGTTCTTTCACACACATACCTGGTCTAATATATAGTTACGTCTTCTACCACTTGCTACGTTGATCAGTTGATCGAGTGCGCGATTGCATCTGTCGATAATAATTTCTCGCTGACAGATGTTTTGCTCTTTATCTGACAGAGCAACGTCCTGAATAGAAGGGAAACATTGCATTCAGAACAAACACTATGAAACTTGATAATTTTTTATAATTTTATGGATACGTACGCCAGTCTTCTCAACCAATTTATGGACTGCTAAAATATTGTATAGTTTATCTGGATGGTCGGCCGCGTGCTTTCTTACCCAGGTAGTTTTTCCCGCCGCGGGCAAACCACACATCATTATCACCTCACAATCTGCTTTTCCATTTGGCCTACGTGGACCCGCAATTCTGTTCTTGGATTCGATATTACCCACTAAAATATAGCCTGGGATTTGTTCGCACCATGCCTCCTCTTGGCCAAAATTGCAGACAAACGTGCAGTTTTTACTCAGAATGTGTGGAAACAATGGTCTATCACCAAGTTCCTCTTTGCAGATACTAAATGCAGATCCAACGTTTTTACCATTTACCGTGTAAAACAATTCTATGGTGCTCTCAGGTGTCATATCAAGATAACATCCGACAACGTCATCCTTGCCGAATGGAGAACCATAATCTGTGAACTTCTTGTCAGTACCCTGTTTTCCAGCACTTGTATACGCATAACTCAATTTTTCCTCGCCAAGTTGCATGGATGTAGAGGGTACTGACCAACCAATTCTAAGCATATGCGATTGTTTCTTGTCTTTTGTGATAGTAGGATAATGTTGTACAATTCTGGCTTCATAATAGACTTTTCCATTTGAAACACCATGAGACGCTCTTGCACCAGCCCACATATCACAGAGATCACCATCATGCATAGGTGTACCAGAGAGAAATCCATCTTTATTAATAACTAAATTCAAATCTGAATCATCTGAGAATAAAAAAGTATTTACAATATCACATATATATTAGAAAAGAATTATTAATCTCAAAAAATACACAAGATTTAATTTAAAAACTTACACCATGATAAAATTACAGTTGACTCGTCAAGATCTGGTTCATCCTCTGGTTTCTGTGGCATAGGAGATAGTTGACGGACTTCTGCTGGGCTAGGGGATCTTTTTCTTTTTCTGTCATTACATTCCATTTGATTTGATTCTCCTGCATCTAATGTTGCTTTTGGCTTTAAAAAAATAGTTTTCAGCTATTTTTATGTTCTTTCACACAAATAAAAATAAAAATGTATAATTAAAAATAAGATTAAATTTACAGAGGCAATTCTTACATATTATTACGAACTACTTGTGCTATTTGTAACGAAACACATAGATTATATACCTGTTTATCTTGTGAAATATTGATAGTATCAATTTTTTCATCTAAATTTTCTACATTAGCTGAAATGTCCATTTTTTTATCTTGCACTGTATAATCATCATGAATAGTTTTTTCTTCGTGCTTTAATTCACATATTTTATCTGCCTGATCAGATATCACATGTGTTGGCTGTTCAATTTCCGGAATGTCTATATTATCCTTAATGTTAGATCCATCTTCTTTACGTTCAACATGTTCTTTCTCAATTGAAATTTTATCGTCATCTTTAATTTCTGTCTTTTCTTCCACTTTTGTAATATCCTTTGTTTCTTCAGCTAGCTGTTGAACTTTACCAACTTCATCTATATAAGATCCCTTTGCTTCATGAGCTTCTTGAGTTATAGAAAATTGATCTACACAGGCAATTGTACTAGGTTTGTCAGACGATTCTGTCACAGGTACTTGGAAAATATTTGCTCGATTACCTTCTAAAATATTAACACATTTTGCCTCTTCTTCCTCATACTTATCAGATGAATGAATTTTGTTCTGAAGAATATTGGACGCATCATCTTCTTGCTCTTCTCTATATTTTTCAGGAGACAATTTTGACATTTCCTGTTGTTGGGTTATGGCTTCTTCATTCGGCGTTGGTGTCTCGTATGCTTTCTCATCATACTGAGATTTGTTCGGAGTAGATTGTTTTGAAGAATTTGGCGTGGTAGATGCTCTCGATGCATTTCTCGTAGAAATTTTTGTTGGAGTCGTCACCGAGGAGCTCCTAGATGCTCTATTAGGCGTCCGTGGTGATTGCGACGATCGCGTAGCTTCTACAACTCTCTCTTGTGTCTCTTTCAAAGCAGTATCGTCAATATTCTCTGTTTGCGAATCTGAACCACCTGGAAAATAAATTGAAATATATTTTATAATTTTGTACCACCTCATTAGATAGGATGTTGAACAAAAATAAACCTAAAACTAAAAACTTAAATTTTAAACATTAACATAATAAATAAACAAAAAAATGACATCATATCAGATGACATTTCAACATAACATGTAAATGAGAAAACATAATTTGTGAGCACATTAGTCAATTTCATTATCAGCTACATCTTATAACGTTACATAGTGTATAGTAGTCACGATGGTGATGGTGATTGTGATTACCAGAGCCCCATTGTTATGTATGGTGATGGTATACCATGAGAAATTAGTAGAGTAATTGAAATAAGAACAAGTACGTGGGAAGTACTTAATGATGCACACCAAGTACAACTTACACTCCTGTGCTTCTTCCTCCAATGCCTTGCGTAGCCGCTCGACGAGCACTGGCTTGTTGCCCTTGGTGTCGAGGCCGCGCTCGCTCAGTGCGGCTCGCAACTCCACCACTTTCAATTTCGACGGATCCATCATGAACGCGCGATAGGCCCCGTTAATCAGCAGGCAAATTCATGCACACCTTACGTCTGACGCGTAGGAGAAAATTGGAGATAATATTCACGAAAGACCCATATACACGCGCCACTGACCCGCGCTCCATACACAATATGGCGGAACAGTCACAAACAGTTGGTTACGTAGCGCGCGCTCTAATTATTGGCTGGCCGCACGGTCGTGTCCGAACCGACGCCGGCTACACGGCCAATCGCGGCCGCTGTTTCAACCGCGATAAACTGCGGCGCGTCCGGCGATTGGTTTACTCCAAGGCGGGACGCGCGACCATTCGCTTGATGCATACATACTACATACATACACACACCGCTTCTTCTCTGTCAATTATTAAAGAGGATACCTACCAATGCCTACACACATACATGTATTACTTGTATTATTACATTTTACTACACTGCTATTTTTAATGGAAATTTTAGAGAATGATTAAATCGCCACATAAAAAAGATTCGCGTTATTATGACGCATTATTGTAATAATTGCAATAACAATAGCTTAATAACGTCACGACTAAAAAATGTAAATTACTTACTTTCAGCCAATGAGAAGCACTTTGTTTTAGCGCGACGCTTAACGTATAGTTCTAATTGGCTGTTATATTTAGTGTTCATTTTCATGAAAGATCAGTGCTCGACGATGGTGTACGAGATCGATAATACATACGGATATTTATCATATGATCGATTGAGTGAGATTAAATTTTTAAACTCCCGCAATACAAAGTAATTATGTTCTATACAAAGTTGTATGGAATTTTGCATTCTGTTATAATGCATTCGAATACAATTTATCGCTTTTTATTCCGTAGTGAAATCGAAGAAGCATGAATGCGATTAATATGAACTGGTTAGCTTCAGCAGAAGCAGAATCTTTGATCCATCATTTCTACGTAAATTCTTCTAAAAAAAGGAGATTTTATGGTGCTCTATCTGTTTGTGTAACCTATTCTATAAAATATGTACACGGACATTAATGTTTTTCCTATTTTACTATTTTCATATATTTTACAGGTATTCTGGAGAAGCCATCGTTGCCTTCTTCCATCGAGGAAGTCACTTACAAGATCTTTATGATAGGTAGATCTGGCGTTGGAAAGACTTCAGTAATAGCAAGACTCGCAGGTATCCTCGACTCTAACAGTTATACCGAAACCAATGGAATAAGGAAAACAAACATTTACTGGCCTGTAAAAATTTGGGATAAAGTCGTTCTATTTAAACTACAATTTTGGGATACCTCAGAAAATAGCATAAAAAAATACAATCATATTTTACCAGTATGTGTATAAATCCTTCTTTGATAATTGTGTTCAATTAATTAAACAGATATTAATTAGACAATATCTTTTTTCACTTGCAGGTATGCAAAGATAAAGTTGATGCGGTATGTTCTGTGTTTTCCTTTGACGATGCAGCAAGCTTCAATGACATTCCATACTTGATGAATACAATGATCAATATAAAAGGAAAACCAGCAAACATAGTCATTGGCACAAAGTAGTACCATTATTTGATAATCGTATTATAAAATGGAAAGGATTCAGATAATCCCGATCTGACTTTTTACAGGTTCAAACCTTGGTCAAGCTCTATGATAGATGAAGGACAAATTAAAGAATTTGAGGACAAGTGGAAAGTTAAGGTGATTAAAATTGATGCCAGCAAATCATCAGTAAGATCTGAAATATTTGATTGCTCGTATCAATTGAATGTCATTTGTAACATCTTGTGGAATAGAGATAAAGAATTTATATCTAAACTAATGGGACAAGTTTGATAAGTATAATCAGATGTATTTTTTCTATGATTTATACAAAATAAAAGTATAAAAAAAAGGATATAAATCAATCATGTCAATGATTTATTAAGACCGTATATGTGAATACACGATAAAGTTTAAACAGTCAAAGCTGGATCTTAGATACTTATAATTTCCATATGAATTTATATACCAAATATGTCATAATTTAAATTGCTTGCCGAATTAGTTTATCGCGGACTTACAAACGCAATTAAACTATTACAATAATATTATGAATTAATCTTATCAATCATATAAATTTATTTAAATCTTAGATTTTATTTGCTGTATCCTCAATCACATAGAGTTGCAAATTTAAACAATCTGTTTTGATGTCCTTTAATGGCAATAGATTTTTATTGATCATTTCTACTGCATCATCTTTAATAATCCATGGAAAATCTTCACATTTTGGATTTTCGCTCAGAGTAACATGTGCAGTTTCATATGTTTGAATTTCAATAGAAAAAGTTGAATTGTCTGGAATAGCTTTTAAGTATGTATCACACATTGATAATTTTAAGCAAACTGTTTTTAGTGCTTCTTCTGTTTTTAAATAATATGGATCTCTCCTTAAAATAGAAAAGAATAATTAATAAGTAATATATAAAAATTAGATAATGTATTAGTTATTGTTCAACATACTCCATAAACTCTGCCTGTAGTTTAACCATATCAAAGACAAATTTTTCTATTGGTGACTTGTTCTTGTTGTAGAAGGTAAGATTGATGGTTCTAATACTGTTTTCATCTTCCTTTATCAATTCTCTGATTGCATTTAGGACATTTGATAAATATTCATTCAATTCTGGATGGTCTGATACATATACCGTAATTCCATATATCTTTTTCTTAACAAAAATTTCCTTAGGATAGATTTTGCGGAAAAATAATATGTGATTAAACGCTACTTCCAAAAATTCCAAGAGAATATCAACACCAACTGCAAGTAAATTTTATTTATTTCCATGAAACTGCACATATTAACTACTGTAAATAAGTTGTATGGTATAAAAATAAATTTGATTATGAAACTCTACCTATCTTATCTTGAGACATTTTATGATGACATTGAAGATAATTGTCATGCTGTTTTTTTTTTAAATATATGTATATACACACAGTAAATATATTCTCTACCCCTATTGCTCTCTTGACCACCTCACATGTATGTGAATATTAAGCTGGCGATACACTAGGTACTTGTCTTCCTGCTGGATTGCGCTAGATTGCTAATGATTACTAGTTAGAGAGAAATCTGAGAGCACGAGAGAAGGGGGGGGGGGACTTTTGTAATCGCAAAATGCCTTGCGCATTGCCGCCCTCTGAAGAAGTAGATGTCAACTACACAATATCCACTTTTTTGCAATGCTCCTAATGGAAATAAATCACTGAAATACTTAAAATCTGTTAAATTAATAGAGTTTTAACGATTTTAGAAATTTATTTTCATCAGGGACACTGCAAAAAAAGTGAATATTGCTATGTAGTTTACATCCACCTCTTTAGATGGCAGTAGTGCGCGAGGACATTTTGGGAGTTACAAAAAAAAAAGACCCTCATCTCTCATAATACAATACTCTATCAGTACTAGAAAAGAATACGTTTTATTTACAAAATAAACTATGCATTTCAATCAAAATACACATATATTTCGTTATATTATCATCAATATAAATATCTATTAACCAAACTTATAATTAGCATAAATTTCGCGGAACATGTCGCGACATTTGATTTTTGTTCCAAGTTTTGCACATAACAAAAATATTCCAGATAATTTTCTATGTAAGCTATATATTTCCTCGGGTGGTGGACATAATCTATGATTTATTATAGTTGGCACTAAAACTTGGATCCTGCAATACATAATTATTATATGTATTATAGCCATTATAGGATGGATGCAGAAATAGGTTGAACATACCGTTTTGTTACATCTTGACCACCAAAATCATAATACTCGTGATTATTGTCAAATACTTGTCCAAGAATCATGACTGCATTCACATGAGCA